TATGTTATCTTGTGAATCTTGGCTTTGCTAAACCAGTTTGCTTAGTTTATGATACATCGCATGCTCCCACTAATAAACATGAGCCATTCCTTTTTTCAAATCTTTTGCTCTTTTGCCTGGAACTGCCTTTCCCTTTCAACTTTCTCTTTCATAACCCGAAGCATAAATAATATAGCATTCATCCATCCACTGACAAGTTTAGTACCCTGCAAGGTGGAGTTACTTGTGTAACTCAAAGATTGAAAATGGCTTGCCATTTTAGAGGGTAAAGTTCAAAGTCATGTCTGAACCATATCTTGAAAAAGTGCAACTCTCTAATGTGATCTGCAGTTTAATACCTAACTTTTAGGTGTCCTCGGCTATAAGAGGTGACCCTAACGTTCTGTGAATCTCTAAAACCTGGATGCCATTTTTAAGTGGCTTTATTTATTCCATGTGTGTGTTCATTGTCCATTCCTGTACTCAGACACTCATATACTGGGTCTTGAAGGTGAATTAGAAATAGTTCATATTCTCAAGTAGACACAGATGAATAAAGTGGTATAATATTATGTGGTGCCTTACCCTATTTAAGATGTGGTCAGAGTACCCTGGGAGCACAGATGAAAGAATAATTGATTCCACTTGAAGCAAGGATGAGGAAAGGAAAAGGATAGCATCAGGAAATCAAAAGAGTTAACCTTGGAGCTAGAACTCAAACTAAGACTACTTGTAGTTCCCAGTGTATAAGTGGTGGGTAGGCAACTCCCCGAAAGGGAATAATATGTATAAAGGCACTGAGGGCTGCAAGAGAGAGCTTGCTGTTATTTGGGGTATGACTGAGCAGAGGCTATCTTGTCTACCTCGTTTTATAGAGGAGGCATCTGAAGCCCAGTGAGATTGAGAACTTACTAGCATGCTTTTATTTGTTTTCAAATATTATATAGCTGATGAGTAAAATCAGCATTCACCCATATAGACTGCTAGGATAAGAAATGAGATGATACACAGTTATAACCCAGACAAACTGTCATTCCAGTTTCAGCAACTCCTATGAAAGCATGAGTTTTCATAGGTAATACAGTTTGGATCTTAAAATTTTGAGTACCCTCTAAAAACAGTATTGGCAATAATAAGGAACCTGCCTCTTTAAGATTAGAGTATTTAGCAATAATGACCACACCCCTCATTCATTCCCTCAGTGATGATTTACTGAGCTCATATTGAGTACCAAGCTCTGTACTGAATTGGGTATACAATGAGGAGCTAAAACCAACACAGTCCTTAAATTTGTGGAACTTAACGGTTTATTGCAGGAGACATCATTCAAAAATGTGCACAAATGAGTGTGGTTGGGTAGTCCATGTTGTTACGAGTGCATGTAGTTGTGATGAGGGGATGTGCATCAAGGAAGGCTGCCCTAGAAGTGACTGACCACTCAGCTCATATCTGTAGGAGGAATATGGCCTCACTTGGTGAGGAGTGAAAGGAAGAGTCTTTGCAGGAAGTCAGCCATGGGCAGAGTCCAGTGTATGATGGAGTATGGTAACCAAAGTATTGACAGAAGGTCTTTGTAGCTGGAGTACAGAAAGTCAGGGTTAAGAAGGGCAGGACCTTCTAGGCTGTGGTACTGATTTCGATATCATTCTCAGAGCTCTGAGATATTTAGAAGGAGGATGACATCATCACATGTGCATTTTGAAATGGCCTTTTTAACTGTCATGTGAGAAAGGGATTGGGGAGGATACTGAGTATCTGAACATGGACCTCTTAGGAGACCATGGGAGAAGGCCAAGCAAGGCTTGGAGAGTGGTGGGAGCAGAATTGTTGAGAAAAGGTGCCTTCGGGGGATACTTCTGAGTTAAGATTGTGATGTGGTGAGGGATTGGATATGTGGATGAGGGGGCCAATGCATGACCCCTGAGTTCCTGGCCTTTCCAGTCGATGGACAGTGCTAGCATTCGATAGATTGGGAACAGTGGAGGAGGATCTGATGACCCCTGGGTTCCTGGCCTTTCCAGTTAATAGACAGTGCTAGCATTCGATAGAATTGGGAACAGTGGAGGAGGATCTGGTTTGGAGACACCTAAGGATTGTATGAGCCAAATGGCAGCATGAAATAAGAGGAAAACAATTAGCCTGATCAAGCTCTTGTCCAATACTGCACAATATATTTAATCACCTTTTAGTACAAAAGAAATAGAAATCTAATGGAAGAAATATAAAAATTATCCTGATGCTACATACAGAAACAGAAAAACACGTACAAAAACAACAAAAAAACCCCACAAAACCTTAAGCCTAAAGATGACAGAATCAAAGGTAACTAGGGGCATCATGGACATTGTGTTGAGGAAGGACGACCAGGGAGACACCTAGAAGGCCTCACAGTGGCCCTGTGGAGGGATACAGAGAAATCCACTTAGTAATAGCAGGATAAAGCAGGACTGTCAATAGAATAATACTTTAGACTAACATTTCAGAATACGTGATTGGGAGAGAGAAAATAGCTTGATTTGGTTAGAGCATGAGTTGAGATAACAGGTTCAGCTGGAGTTATGCTAAGTTTTAGGTGCTTAGACATCTGAACAGAGATACACAAGTTGCAAGTTTGTGTCAGATTCTTAGGGCACAGATCAGAACTGGAGAGAGACTTGGCAAACCACTTGTCAACAGGTGATTCTAGAAGTCTTGGAACTCTCTCCAAAGAGGAGGAATGTATATGGATAGAAAGGAAAAAGTACACTTTAAATAACTGAGGTATTTATTAAATGACTAGAATGTCCCAGAGAGTGTAGAGAGTTATTTCCAAAAGGCACCTTATTTAATCCTCTAGTACCTTTTTGCGGTTCTTTTATTGTTACCCCCATTTGCCTGATGAGGTGATGCAGATTTTGAGAGGTATCCTGACTAAAGTCACACAGCTAATAACTGGTAAGACCTTGGCTCAAACTCATGTCTCATGATGCCAAGTTTGATGCTATTGTCCTGCTCCCCAGCCTTGACCCTTCAGCATCTTGGGCATAGAATGCTGGATGACACCAACATTTAAGAACAGGGCTAAGAAAAGAAGGTCTGCAGAAGAAGGCTGGGGAGTATGAGAGACACGGTTCAAGAGAAGATAGACTCCTGAAAGTGATATGCATGTGGTCACAGTGAGGGGGATGGTGACTTCACGAGAGTGATTTCAGAGCACAATGAAGGCTGGATTGGGTGGGCTGAAGAATGAAGGGAGGAAGAGGAAATGAAGTCGATGAATGGTACTACTGTATTCAAGGAGGTGATGAGGGCTAGGAGAGAACATGCAGCCTTGGGAGTTACCAGGGCATTTATGAGTGGTCAGAGCTATATAGAGAGCTGTGTTGGGGAGTCCATGCACTTAGATCTCGAAGAGGAGCAGTGTGGAACCACTAGGCTTGTGAGCGGTCAAGGTAACTTCATGAATGTAGAAAGGCAATTCTGGGTGCAAGCTTGCTCTGTAATCAGTCTAGTGTCTGTTCAGTTGTGATCTCTTAGAAGAAGAGGTCTCTGAAAGTTATTTGAGATAATCTGTCAAGATACACAGACCTTGGATTATTTTTTGGGCGAACATCTTCTAGCACATCAATATGAGGTCATTTGGTATTTATGGTTATAGTTAGAGAATGACATCATGAATTAGTGCTTGTCTAAAATGTTCTAACTTGGTTACTGTACAGTTATTTTCATCCATCTCATGTACTGTGGGTTATGTTTTCTGTCCTGTGTTTTGATCCTTACTGTTAATTTTGTTTTGAGATTATCAAAGGGCTTTAGACCTCTCTAAAAGCCCATTATTTATTGGCATGTCCTGATTTTTGACAGATTCATGTGTTTCTTCAAGCTTTTAAAATACATTCACAACAGTAGCAATAATTTATTTTGGGGATTGGGGTTGTATCTAAACCTCACGATCTGAGACAGGATTATAAAATTCACTTCCAAAGTTTTGGTCTTTTAAAAATCGCTCGAAGCGTTTACTATCATTTTTCTTTTAATGTGAATTGCAAGTTGATTACAGTGCACTGTATTGAGCCGGAGATGTCTCTTCTTTTTTCATGTATTGAGGTGCATTTTTGTTATTTCTCCATCCTTGTCTCCTTTTTGCCTCAGGCATTACTCTCCTGGGGAGAATCATTGTGCTTCATTCTCTCTGTAACTCCTTGAGGTACCCAGAGATGACTAACCTATACACACTTTCCCTGGTATTAACATCCTAGTCCTGCCCAGCCCTGTGAAATGTTTCAGAAACCAGTCAGTCTATAACCACTAGGTAAGGCTAAATGGTGACACCCTACCCACACCCCTGGACATACACACCCTATTCCGAGAGTTAAGGCATATGGGAATTGTCATGGTGGCTGTGTGTTTAATCCTAGGGGAGGAGTCTAGTCATGACTAAATAAAATGTTACTATTGATTACTACTCAAGAAGACTGCTTTTATGCCACATACTTGGCTAAGCCCTGGGGACATATTAGCAAGTAAATAGATGCAGTCTCTTCTCTTGAGGAGCTTACAGTCTAGGAAAAAGAAATCTCCTTCAAGCAACATAATAGAAAAGTATACCAAGCTGAACAGCAAGTAGGCTATGTATTCATCATTTGTTAGTGAACACATATTTATTGAGTAACCACTGTGGGCAAGGAATCTGGATGAAGAGTGAATATAGCAGTAAGTGACAAAGGCTCATCAGGAAGTAACCTTGTCACATAGGTTATTGAGTAATACTCTTGATATTTTGTATTATTTTAGCAAATTCCATATCTTTAGAATTCATATTTATAACACTTATTTGACCTAGAAGTTGGCAAAGTATATAAACTTAAAGATTGACTCTCTTCAAAAATCTGTAAAATTTAAATATGACAGCAGGTTTTAGCTCTCAAAGTGTACTTCTTCTTCACATTTGTTTTTCCTGGTCAGTAACATATAATAGTAAGCAGTATAACTGGCTGTAACTGATACAATTATCTTCATATATTCTGTAACATGTCTTACAGTTATTGCCAGTTTTCGAGGAACTGTCCCGTATGGCCTGTCATTGGAAATTGGAGATACAGTTCAGATCCTGGAAAAGTGTGATGGTAAGTGGGCTGATGATGATTGTTTGAGGTTGTGTAACCAACCTCCTCACCACTGGATGGTTCATGATGTTTACACCTTCTGTCCTGTTGATTTCTGGGATTTTTCCAGTGTTCACAGTGAACCATTTTTGACAAAGCTCGCTTCTTGCGTATTCAGTGTTCGGCTTATGGAAAGGCATCATTTGCTGTTTTTAAGCTGATATATTTTTCCTAATATTATTTCCTTATATTCACTGGATGCCACCATAGAAAGCAGTTGAGGCTACTGTATTTGTGGGAATTCATAACTCCGTGCCAAACTAGAAGGTCTTTCTCAGAATCTCAAGGGTCTAGTAGGTCCCCCAGGACAGGAAGAAACAGAGGTCCAGGGCAGAAATGGCTTCTCCAAAGTTAGGTAACCAGATGCCTTGGGGAGGACTCCTGCCAAGGCCAACTCTGCTCTAGTCGGCAGTCTTCTTCCCTGCCACCCCCAGACTTGAACTAAAGTTATTCAATGCATGTAAAATGTTAGTGGAATATATTGTAAGAACTTTATTAATTTATGCAGCATGTAACTCATTAAATCAAATACTTAATATGTTGTCAAACGTTTCCATTCCTGTTCCACGAAACACCCTTAAGCTCTCGTATTTAAAAAGATCCCAGTTGAGGGCGCCTGGGTGGCTCAGTTGGTTAAGCGACTGCCTTCGGCTCAGGTCATGATCCTGGAGTCCCTGGATCGAATCCCGCATTGGGCTCCCTGCTCGGCAGGGAGTCTGCTTCTCCCTCTGACCCTCCTCCCTCTCATGCTCTCTGTCTCTGATTCTCTCTGTCTCAAGTAAATAAATAAAATCTTTAAAAAAAAAAAAAAAAGATCCCAGTTGAAATGACTATTTTTTTCCTCGTTGACAAGGTGACCATATTTTAAAGCCCCAAAACCACCCATTTTCCTCCTGAAATGTTGTTCTTAATAAGAACTTATAATATGATAACATTCTGTCGTGTCAAGATTCATTAAACTGTGTTCCTCCAAACAGAACTGTTATATTTACTTAGAACCTCGCATTAAATGGTGGTGATACATGGACATTTATTCTGTGTACTGTAAATGATATCTTTAAAGATATAATGAGGTCTTCCATATTATTGTCAGATGCATTTTGTCTATTTTTACTTTGTATACAGATAAATATAAAATCTGTTTTGAATTGGTGCATGAAAATGGGCTCCATAACTAATGGAAGCTGTTCTGTAACCTAAAAACCTTTGATAGAGACCTCTCTATGAGACTTTTGCAGTTCTCAAAAAGTTTTGGTTTCTGTTAAAATAATTATTTAAGAATGGATATATTTCTTGGATATGTCTTTAAGGGATCTTATTAATCCTGAGATAGTTTCTGCTCAATTCATTTTGCTTTCTTCAGACTGATTTTAAAGCTGGTAGGTATGGCATTTTACAATATATCTTATAAGGAACAAAAAAATTTAAATATATTTAATATTTATATAGATTTTTGTATAAATATAATATTTTATATAAATATTTAATATTTAAATACAATGTTCAAATATTTCTTTTTAAAAATTCAATTAATCAAAAAAGTCCAATTCAACAAAATATTTGTTACATGGTAATTTCTTACCAATAAACAAAATGGTTCTATGCTTGAAGAAACTGTAAGTTGAAAATAATACATTTATAGGGGGTATTTATTTGCTATACATTTTCATATATATACCTTATACTTGTTTTAAACTATAAAAAGATACAGTCTTCTTTCAGGATAGTGTTGTAAAATTTTGATTCAGAGTTGCTTGGAGGTTGATTCATAGGCATTCTACAGAATGAAAGTTAGGGTGAGCTCAGGTGGTAGGACATTTTGCTGATAAGAGTACCCATCACTTTTCTTGATGGATGATACCTGATTTCCCTCTTATGCTATCAGACTGATCCTAACCCTAGATGATGGGCTTAAGGATGTGCAAATTTACTCTGTGACTGTTGGCTGAGCCCTACCTATGCTTTGGTGATAGGGTCTGGGCCTTGTAGTCAGGCAAAGAGAAATTGGAAACATATTAAATCTTGTGTAGATTCTTGAATTTCCCTAAGACATAATGTAGCCTTTTATAAAATGTGGAGAAACTATGCTCACATAAATTAACTTGCCCAAAATAAAATAATCTGATAAGTAGAAAAGCCAGAATTTAAGCCCAATACTCTGATTCCAAGCCCTGTACTTCCATTATGCGTGTTTCTATTTTTCATATAAATTTCCATTACAATTTTTTAAACAGTTTATTAATAGAACACAAACTAGTAGTCACTTGAGCTATAGTCTAGCCCAATCCAACTTCCATCTTGTTCATACACAGAATATTTATTTATAGGGTAAAATTCCATCAGTAAAGGACAGATTTATTTATAATCATTTTTCTTTAAAATACTACAGTGGTTTATCAAAATAATGACCATGATTTTTTTCTCCACAGGCTGGTACAGAGGATTTGCCTTAAAAAACCCGAATGTCAAGGTAATAAAAAATATTACTCATAATCATAATTATAGGATATTTTTAAAGTTATTTTATAATTGAAATTACAGTTGGGACTCTTAGTTGAAATGCCAAATGGCAATACAGATTTTCATAATTTTGGAAATTCCTTTGAACTTGGATTATCGTTAAGACATGCTACTCAAATGATAATCTTACGTAGCTCTTGCAGTTTGTACTGAGAAGACCTTAATAAGCTCATTATATATAAACAAAATCTTTTTGAAGTGTTAGTTTAGCAGAGAGTGAAATTAAAATTCAAGCAGGGGAAATAGATATTCCAAAAGAAAAATTGAATAGAGGTATTTAATCTTGGAGTTTTCTGTGGTGTCATTTGTAAAAGAGTGGTGTAGAGAAACACGTGGATTTCAGCAGCTTAGTAAGATTCCCTTTGGGGTTTGGGCAGGTGAAACATGGGGAAGCCATATTATAAAGATCTCCCTGTTCTTACTATTCCGGACAGAAATTAAGACTCATTATCCTTTAAATGTTCATATACATCCTCAGGAATTACAGTAGGAAGTAGTATGATTTTTGTTTTACCTTTCATTTGTATATTTTATGACTTTGACACTCATCCTTACTATTTATTATCTGTGTTTGTCTACTGTATTCTAATCTCTCCAACTTTCATCCATACCTCCCACATTCTGTAATATTCTCTTGCATGTCATGTTCATTACTTGGTTTAATTCTGGCTTTATTAGGATTATAGATAAGAAACTGTATCATTGCTTATTCTCAGAATGTAATGTAAGTAGTCTAAATTCTTCTGCCTGCCTTTCTGCTTAAATATACCTTTTTCTGGATCATCCAGCTATGTTTAATACCTGTATTTCATTTATTTTTGGTCATTCTAAAGAGAGCCTGAGGAACAAAAGAATGTAGAAATTTAATTTTTTAAAATACTTTAGCCCTTGCTTAAAGTTATTTTTGGACATCTGCAAGGCACATGCAAATGTAGCTTCAGTACTTAATTATTCATTTGGAATAATTTTGAAAAAATATATTATGGCTTATTTCTGCCACTCTTCTAACCTCAAGTTCTGACTTTTTCTTATGAATTATAATTACCCTGTTTGTTAATCCTACCATATTGAGTTAAATTTTGAAGAAAAAGTATATTTTTAAACGTGTGTCTATTTACTGTTGTTGTATGTACAGAATTTGCTTATTAAATTTTATGTTATCCTTGGATCCACAATGGTAATAATGTATCCAAATGACATTTGCTTTCCTAAATATTTAATTGAATTTGTCATTTGATGATACATCAAAAATCATTCAGAGGATATTGTCATTTAATGGACAATAAAATTGATGCTAATTTTTTTTTATATTGTTTCTTTCAACTTCCCATTTAGAACAAAGGAACAATTTCCTTGTCCTATCTTTTCTCTACAATAAAAAGCTTCAAGCTAGCATGCTGTCTTTTGTTTAATTTTTGTTCCATCAGAATGCAGCCTGGTGATTAATTGCTGCTGTGTTTTCATCAAAGATTTTCCATAACACATAATATATGTATTGTCTCCCAATTCATAGTGGTATTTTTTTTTTTTAGTGTATATTTTAAAATAGACACGAGTGTTTTAGGGAGAAGGAAAGGAACAACTACCAAAACAAACAAAAATTAATGCAATATTAAAAAACTATGCAATATTTTAAAAAATTCTTCTTCAGTGTAACATGCTTTCTATTCTATGCAGAATTCCTGAAAATTTAAAATTTTTCTGTTTTATAAAGAATATGCTTTTGGGTGAGATTTAGTTTTTTTGATTATATTTATTTTCGAGAATCCCTGAATTTGTAAACTAGTGAATGGTAGGAAATAAAAGGAATGGATCCAGTGCGGTAGAGATGTTGTTTTTCCCTGTTCCTGGAACTGTCATGGTTGTATGACTGTATGTTACATGTATGACTTGTGAAAGCACCCCTGCCTTACCAGTCATCTGGCACCAAAACCTCCTGTTTTCTCCCGCAGGGTATCTTTCCTTCCAGCTACGTTCACTTGAAAAATGCCTGTGTGAAGAACAAAGGGTAAGAAATGAGTTTTATTAATGTGAGAGGATTTTCACAGAACCATTGCTTTTTTGAGAATTTGAAAGGCTTAGTAATCGTCTTGACAAATGAACTACAGGAGATCCTGCCATTGTCTGTGTGGTTTGATAAAGGTGGATTTCACTAAGACAGTTGGTGGAGAAAATGTAATACCCTACGTCTGCATGTGCTGGACTAGAGGAGAACCTAGGGCATCAGAGGTCTCTCATGGTCCACAGATCATGGAATCAGGCTAATCTTAAGCAGGAGGGAGTTGGTTCTTTTTGGTTTCCTGCTATATAGAGAAGCATGGCAGCCAAGCCATGGAGTGCTGAGTCATGTCTCAAACCCCAGGAATTTCCGAGATTTACCACTGATTATAAGCAGCCAAATCGGACTGTTTTTTCCTAATTGGGGATCGTACCGTATCCTTGTGTGACCACTTCACAAAGCCACTCTTCTATTTTAGGGAATGGCTTTTCTGTTCTTTGATTGAGCTCATTGATCACCTAAGATTTCTCATACATTTTAGAAGTTTTTCCAGTCTATTTCCAAAAGGACTTGAAGTAGCTGTCAGGATAACAGATCATTCAAATAAAATATCATAGTATAAAACAGTAGAACTTGCTTATTTAAGTGGTTATCATGAGCAGATCATTCATTATAAGTGGGTCATGGATTTGGACCCAAACGTTCGCTGCCAGTGTCACAAGGAATACGCTCTGGACCATTGAACGATTGTCATTTTATGACCGAAGAAACAATGCAGATTCAGCCATAAAAATTACATTTTACTTCAAACAGAAAAAAAATAGCAGTTTATTTGAATGACTAAAGCACATTTTAAATCATAGTAAATGAGATCATCAAACTTGAGTTTTACCAAAAAAGTTCCAAGGATGCTATTTAAATGGATGATTTTTATATCCCTTGTCTATAAAGGCAAAGTATTAATTTTAGTTCATTGAAATAACTTCTGCAGGTGGGTGAGAGTCTATGGAATAAATACCCTGAGAGTTACCTATATAGATAAAACTGTAGGAGATCCTTATACTGTATACACACACACACACACACACACGTGCTACTTTAAGCAATATTACTATCACTAGCAGTACAGTACTAATTATTTAAAATAGTAGATTAAAAACATACTGATATGAATAATTACCACTGCTACTACTGTTATTAGTAAATGTGTGTCCTTTGGGAAGGTCGTGCAGCTGCACCCCACCAAAATTAATTAAGTAGAGTTATCAGTCCTTTTGGTGTTTCTCCTACCAGGCTTACTCTGACACTGTCCAACTCCCCTCAAGTAAACCGGAGGAAACTCTAGAAAATACTTAGGCCATAGGCTCACTCTTTGTTCTGACCTTTCTGCTCTAGTGATCTGGGCTGGACAGTGTGGAAACCCCAGGGCCTCTACCCTAACCCTTACAGTGTCCACCTGGGTAGACCTGTGCAACCAGTTCTCTTTGCTGCCGTTGTCCCAAGCCCAGCCCTACCCCATTAACTCTGCAGAGCAAAGGGCCACTCAGCCCCCACCGTACACCCCGAGCAAGGGAAATAGAGGATGCTAGCAAAGATGAGGTCAAGCGTCATTCCACCCAGTGGAAGTCCTCCCTCTCACAGCAGATTGGGGTGGGTCATTATCAAAATAAGTACCTTCTTTTATTTATTTATTTTTGTCCTAGGCAGTAACTGGTGCATATCTGGTCCCCTCCTTGAGCCTGAGGAAGTTTAAATAAGGCTAAAGATGTCTCAAAATTAGGTTGTGTAAGTTTAAGACTTGGTTGGTGGTTCCCCATGTGACACAGGGCATCATGAACATTAAGTAACAGGAGAACGTTGAGGGTAGAACCCAAATTTATTTTCTTAAAAAGAAAAAAAATTTATTGGAATTGATTGAGACTCTAGATTCTAGGACCATTAACTGGAAGAAAAACTTGACCCTGAGAACATTTGAGAACACATATTACCAGATGATTGCTTTCCCAAAGAGAAACTTCTTTGGGATTTTGATGTTAACCTCTCTTATTTTAAGATCAGCAGCCTGATGGCCCACCAGGATGAAGTATAGCTCAGAATAAGTATATCTTATATACTTATACTCTAATAAAGTATATCTAAGAATAACTGAACAAAATGTAATTTCAGGGGCCACTACTTACAACTGTTTGAACGTTGACTTTGCTTTTGATATAATTAAGAGGAAACAACTGCCTCGCCAAAATCGGCGATTTTATAAAGCTTCTTGAAAATTTACATTTTGGCTGAACAAACCCCAAATCAACTTCTCACAGATTGGATTGCCTTTTTGTTCGTTCCTTGGTCTTCAGAGCATTGTCGCGCTAATGGGGGTCCTTAAATTGAATTATGGTTTATGAACAACGAGGCCACTTCTATAGTGTTTAATTGCTGCTTGAGGTCATGCCACTTTTTAAATGTTAAGTAGGTTGTTGAGTTGTCCTGGAAATTCATTGTTCCCTTCTTGACCTTACATCTGATCATTTTATAATGTCTGTCTCCAAATATTCATCATTTAAATTGCAACAGCTTCTTCAAAAGCAAAATAAAGGCACTACCATTTGAAAATGTCACACGTAGACTTAATAAAAGGTTCTGTGTGTGTCGCAGTTCATATACTACTGTTTACTCTTATTTCTAGTTTTAAATCCTACTTACACATTTTCAGCTGTGTTTAAGCTCTAGAAAGAAGGGAAATATTCACAGAGCAAGTATTTTAGCACTATGAAATGAGGAAATCATGCTCTCTTGGTGAAGATTTTAGTTCTCTTACTTGCTGTCAAGAAGACTTTACAAAAGACAATTATACACCCTTTGGATATAGCATCACAGAAGAACTACAGAGCAGTTATTAGCCTCATGCTTAGAAGTAATTTTCCCTTGATCATCTAGACAACCTGGTTCAGTGTCTAAAATGCTATTACCTTGTACATATTAGATATTGTCCTTGAAAAATACATACTCAAATGTTAAGAAAATAATTCCCATTAAATAGCTGGTAGCATTCTTTTGAGAAGTTGTAGTAATAATAGCCACTTAAGCATTTTAACCTGCACACTAACTGAAAAGAATTTGAAAAAAGAAATCCGAGATGAGGAAAAAGGTTGTTGTATGTCAAAGATAGACATGGAGGATAAAGGAAATCTGGGTTTTCTTTTTGTCCATAGCTTCATGTATCTCCTCAATATCAGGACCACTTACATACCCTAGGAGGTGTTGGTATGAATGTTCTCCAAGTATAATGTTTCATTTTTAGAGAAGAAACAGGAAGGATATATGAGCCGAATCGGAGAGAGGAATATTGCACAATGGATATTCGAACATCTGTGATCGCAAAAGCTTTTAAGTTCAATGATGCATGCTAACATTACTAATAGACTAATTGTTTTTCTTGTTGCCATTTACAAATAATAAAAATGAAGTGTTAATAAGATCAAGTGAGTGTTTAATCTGTACCTTGGTGTCTAGATACTTCTAACACGAAGTTAGTTTGGATGTTTGCAGCCATAATATCCTGATCATGGATCAAGTCTGTTACTCCCTTTGAGTCCTATGGTCGTAGTGCTTGAAAAGCAAAAGCTATCTCATAGTTTAGGCAGGCTCGGTGACCTCATGTTGCATAAAGGCTTTTGGGCTTGGGAGGTTAAATGAGTTGTTCTTTAGTGGTCACATTGTGGCTGGAGCAGAAGTCTTCTGATATTGCTGCTTCTCATCACACTTCTCAAACTTGATGTGGATGAAGTGTCTGGTCCTCTTGGTATTGTACTGCCATGGCCCACATTACATTCCTCACACGGGTCTTTAATCAGATCCTCGTTACTGTCTGCAGAACCCAAAATAACAGGCAGTTTCCTTTCCCAGTTTTGTCTTTCAGAGAAAAATGTTATCTATGATAATTGCATGTGGACTTTGTTTTTCTCTTTTAATTTCACAGACAATTTGAAATGGTTATTCCCACTGAAGACTCTGTTATAACAGAAATGACATCAACATTAAGAGACTGGGGAACCATGTGGAAACAGCTCTATGTGGTAAGTAACTTTTTAATGGCGTAATTTTTTGGATAGAGAATTGTTTTAAGAAATACTTGAACAGGAGTCAGCATCGACTAATAATTGAGCACCTGCTTTAAGGCACTAGCAGTCCTCCAGAATTCAGAGATACAGAGCCTAATAAGACATAGTCTCGTTGTAATCGGTATGTCCACTAAGCATGGGGTTTGTGAGTTCTTTTTTGAGCTGCAGGAATGTAAAAGATGATTTTTCTGGCATCTCATCAGTTAGAATGATTTACATGGAACTAGTTAGTGTCAGGCTTTCTGAGTATTTTTTTTTTTTAAGATTTTATTTATTTATTCATGAGAGACAGAGAGAGAGAGAGAAGCAGAGGGAGAAGCAGGCTCCCAAGGAGCAGGGAGCCTGATGCGGGACTCGATCCCAGGACCCTGGGATCATGACCTGAGCCGAAGGCAGACACTTAACCATCTGAGCCACCCAGGCGCCCCTTTCTGAGTATTTTTAATTTTCAAGGAGAAAGAAATTTATTTTCAGTGCAATTGGAGTATTGGTGGTATTTTATTCTAATTTTCTGTAAATGATTCAAATATACTGAAAATGATAGACTCCTTAGACCAAATGAACAAGAATATTTTAAATATACAAGAGAAAGGAATGTTTCTTAAAAAAAAAAAAGGGGGGGGTCAGGTTAATGTTTGGGGAGTATGTTTTTATGTACTTATTTACCTATTATAACAAATTATACTTATTGAGAGCTTACTATGTCGCAAACCCGGGGGAAGTACTCCATATGCAGTGTTTCATCGACTCCATACAACCACTCAAGGAAATGATGACCACGAACATCCCCAGCTTACAAATGAGGAACACGGGGCAGAGTGAGGGACTTGCTGTCGCCCACGCAGTTGGAAAATGGCTGGGCTGGGATTCTGGTGTGAATCTAGTGGCCTCACTTTGGATCTCTGAATATGCACAAATCTGGGGGTGGGGAAGTTTGGAGGAAGATGAATGGTATTTCTCCTTTTATTTTCGAAGACATTTGTAGAACAGCTTAATCATTTGAAAGGATGCGTTCAAGATACAAAGGTGTACTTAGCCTGACAAAACGATTTGAAACAGCTTGTCAAAGAGAAAATCCAAACTAGTGAAGGACATTGGCACAGAATGACAGTTTTCGTTGTCTGTTACATATGAAATGCAATAGGATATTTCACTGAGGCAAGAAAAATCTTAAAAATAAAACCCTTTTGATGTTGGATTTCTCTGACCATGCCCTCCTGGAGCTGGTGGCTTTAGGACTCACTACTAAAATCCACAAGACAGTCTTAGATGAAATGCCAGGCTGAGCTTTGCTGGAATGAGATAAATGCAAAGTCAAGATAACTGAACTCAAGGGGTCTGTGCTGAGAGGCTACAAAGCAAATGCAGATCTCCTTTTCAGATTTTTGAAAAAAAAAAATTAGGAAGAATATAAAATCCGAGTCTTATTTCACTTAAAATAACATTGTGCATAATATTGACGTGGAAATGAAACTATTGGAAATGTTCACATCATTGCATCTTAAATACCCAACAGAAGAGTTATGAAAATAATGGCAGTGTAAGTGTCATCCATTAGTTGAGCTAGAGCACCAGCACTTTGCCTTTTATGTGGCAGCTTGTGGGGAACAAAGTTGAATTTCCTCTTGATTCTGCCTTACCTAGCTATTTTTACCTGCTTTTCAGGTTGTGAACATCTCTTCTGGGGACATACTTGATTGGCTTGAAAATCTATGTGTTGTAAGCTCTAGGAGTAACTTTTCCACCTCCTGATGTCCTGAATAATGGACACAGAGAGAGAATTATTTAAAAGTTCCCCTGGATACTGACATGGTAGTCAGTTATGTTAGGGACAAATATGAAGTTGAACCTGGAGATAACAGATTTTCGACCTTGAGAATGAGGCTGCCTTGGCTGTATTGGGCCTTCTGGGTTCTCTTTTCCTCATACAGGTGTTTCGAGCCCGGTGTTTTGATTCACGTTCATCCTTGTTCTTTTCCAGTGGTTTTAAGGTGCCTGGCTTCTCCACTGGCAGATGTTTGATAAGGATAGTACTATCTTGTAAATTGTAAGCAGTTTATGAGATATACTTAGTATAAGTAGAACATTTAGCTTAGAAGCTCATGGTAAATACTTGAGAAATGCTAGTTGCTCTTTTTCATATCATTGGTAAGAGCCTAAATAATGTTCTTTAAAGTATCACTTAATAAAATACCAGTAATATAACCACAAAAAGCTTAGGAGAAATACAGCAGCCATCTTTTACTAAGTACTTCTCTGCAGGCCTTTGGCTGGCTACTTTATAACTTTCTTCCCTGGGGCTCTGCCAAATTGTTTTTATTCTCAAATCTTTAGCAGAGATAACCTATTCAGGGTCTCACACTAAATGGTAAAGCCTGAGTCTAAAGGTAGATCTGCTGCTTCAGAACCTATGCTGTTTTTGTTTTGAGGCAAATGAAAACTTACCCATCCTCCAAAACACTAATACAATTAGTTTTTTGCTATGTTTCCCATATATTGCTGTTTTATTCCAGGGGTTGAATATCAAACCCCTACCCTTTTCATTTAATGTTAAACCAAAAGCATTTTTCATATTTCTAAATAGTCTTCATAACTGTCCAGTGTTTACAGTCCGCTTTTTCAAGACTCATCATTTTATGACCAGCTCTCAGCCCAGACCCGATATGTATTACTTTCCCATCAGGAGGGCAGGTTTGCTGGTTAGGGCTACCGTATGTCAGGGTTCCTGCGTCCCCTTCCCTAAAAGGAAAGCTGACCAGCTGATTTTCATTTTTGTGAAGCATCCAGCTTCCTTCTCATCTTAGCATTCTCTTCAACTTAAGTACTAGAGGTGACATCATGAGAAAAACACAACTGCCCAAGAGCAGGGCAGATGACTTTCACACTAGGATAGTCAGTTAAACAGAGCTGACTTTCCATTTTGCTGCATAAGATTTGACTTACTTTATATCTTCCTTATGTAATTTCTTTAACTCTTGTGGACCTTTCCACTGACCACTGACCTCAAGTTTTTCTTGATCTTTCCTTATTGTTTCCTATGACTTAAATAGAATCTACCTCTCAAGATCCACAAAATGACCTCCTATAAATCAGGGTTTCCACTCCTTCTCCAGGTGCTGGGGCTACCCAAGGGAGACACAGCATCTGTGGTCAGGGGCTTACACCCAGTGGAGAACACAGACACTGAGCAGTGAATTACCAGAGTATTGCATTACAGTGTGTCTGTAGTGACTTGTATGGGAGCGTATAACATGAGTAAAGAGTGAGAGGTGATAGAAGAACAAGCTCAGTAAAGTGCTTTAAATGTCACGAGCACAATTATTTATATCTCAGAGGACCAGGGAGAATGCTTTGCTGTTCAGCCAGCACGTTTGTCTCATCTACACAGAACATTAAAACACTCCCAAGTCACCAAGTCTTGATAAAGTAGAAGACATATCATGACTTTTTAAATTAAAAAAAAAAAAAAAGTGTTCTGACCGAGCATCTTTCCCCATCACACAGAACTTTTGCTATTTCTGGCAGTTTATCACAGCAGAGGGCTCCAGATGTATGATAATCTCAATCCTTGCATATCACTGTTCATGTCCTCTACTAATACTTTAGTAGAAAGTAAAAACATAGCTTCTGGTTAAGAAAGATGAAGGGTAGATACTTAGAAATGGTTTTGCCCTCAGTGTCTCTGGGTAAGAGATACAGGCTAGCTTTTGGTAAAGACACAACATTAGTAGAAGGCTTGTTCTGGGCCAAGCACATAGCAGTAACAGTATTAGTAACAGCCTACACTTAGGTGATATTTATTCTAGGTCAGGCATTACTTTCACAGTTTTGGTATATTAACTCATCAATCTTGACAGTGACCCTATCAGGTAGTTATTATAATATCCATGCTACAGATAAGAAAATACGCACCAAGAGGTTAATAAATTGCTGAAGGTTTTTTAGCCAGTAAATGGCAAACTTGGAATGCAGATCGCTTGGTCAGGCTCCCAAGTCTGTGTTCTTCATCACTGCGCTGTCCTGCTCTCTTCACAAACATTATCTCCAATCCACAAAACAACCTTTCAGAAGGTACTGTCTGTTTCACAGATGACAGAACTCACTTGCCAAGCCTGTAAAACGAGTCAGTAGCAAAAGCAGGATTTGAAGCTGGGAGTTTAACACATCTTCCTTACATTAAGTCGCCTTGCTTGATGAATTTCACAGGAGAGTATTGAATCTACACACATATTTAACAAGTAAGAAAGAAAACAGTGTTTGTTCATAGAAGTCTGAATAGTGACCAGATAATAGCAATAGTGAATGAGTTTGAGAGCCCTCTGTGTACCCAGCTTATGATGGGAAATACAGTAAAGCATTAAGACTAACGTGCAAGAAATAATGAGAAAACAGTATTATCGTTGAATTGGCCTGAATTATGTGCAGCCACTGTTGAGAGAAGAGAAAAAAGAATGTGGGTGAGAGTTGTCAGGGAAGATTCCTGACAGAGGTGGATTCAGGTGGAGCCTTGAAGACAGAATTGGGACGGAGCTAAAGAGAGGAGGATTTGAGGTGCAAGAGGAGGCCGAGTATGTAAGCTGCAGGTGTGGAGGCGTGGTGAGGACTCTCTGCTGGGGAGTCTGAGAAGTGAAGTTAGATCCTTGGAGAGCAGTGTTGTGAGCCTGGATGAAAGCATATAGAGCAGAGGGTGTATGTGAGAGCGCGAGGGGAGAGGGAGCCGTTAACAGAGATTCTGCCCACAGAGTGGCAAGCGCATGGAGGGAAGCTGGACTTGTCCTTCCCTCTCCTGTGTGGTTCCCTCACCACTCACTCTGGGGACTGACCACCGCTTCCACATTTGTGTACTTCCCAGAGAAATGAAGGCGATCTCTTCCACCGACTGTGGCACATCATGAATGAAATCCTGGATCTGCGGCGGCAGGTGCTGGTGGGCCATCTGACCCACGACCGGATGAAGGATGTGAAGCGTCACATTACTGCCCGCCTGGACTGGGGCAATGAGTGAGTACCGTCCTCCGCAGTCGTGGGGGGGGTCCCTGGTGACAGATGCCGCATAGGTGTGAGCCAGTGCACGGTAATATCTCCAGAACACACCAGATGGGGCTTTTTCAGTTTTATCCTTGTGGCGGCTTAGGGGAAGACTATCATTGATGGAGCTGAGAACCGTATCCTCTAGGGTTGGTGAGGGCACCAGGATGTTGTTTGTTCTCTAGTGCCCTGTGAGGTCAGGTAGCGTGCACATGCTCACAGAATATGAAATGTTTACAGGGATCAACCGGATATGGCTTTTGCTCAATAGGTCTTATTTAAAAATAAGCTTTAGGTTTGGCATGTGTATTTGCTTTTGATATATATCCCTTCCGTATCATGGTAGTATGTCACCAGAGTAATCTGGAGGGAGACACTGATGCTAACACTGCCTATTAAAAGTCTTAAAACAGGTGCACCGGTGGGGCATTCATTATTGCCCCGATTCCACCTGTGTGTATGTATTGGCCCCTTTGAGGAGCTGCTTGGGAGAACTCGTAAAAAGCAGACCAAGATTTACTCTTAAATAAAACTGACTAATCTAAAATAACCGCCAAGCACTTTAGTAAATCTCATCACTTATAGCTCTGATCAAGGCTGATATTGTGCTAAGTAGGAATGTTAATATGTGGGTGAGAAATTAGAATACGCTTTGACTATGATCCTAGGCTTGTTGCAGGAAGTTAAAAGGTCCCTCAGTGTCACGGTCATGTCCTCCCTTCCTTTCCTCTTCCAAATCCCCATTGGCTATTTGGACCTTCAGAGGATCTTAGGGCTACAGAATAAAAGAAAAGCTGGCAGAAAAGGAGAAAGTGGCAGGACGTACACCACAGATAAATTCGCCTCTTATTGAATCTGGAAAAACCAATTTGAAGCTAGAGCGCTGCTTCCTCTGACCGCAGGAAGTTGCTCTCTCAGAAGCCACTTTTGATTCTGCTGAGACATAACATCTTCAGATAGGAGCACATGGACCTACTGACACATCTGAAGCCTCATGCTCACCCTGAGTACTTCTGCTATTTTGTTGAGTAAGATGCGCCATTCATCCTTTTACAGATGAGCAGTATGGTAGCCCTAAATTGTTTACCTCTACGAGACTGATTCCTGTGGGGGGGAAAAAAAAAACAACCATAGGTGTGGAATGGCAACAGGACATTGGACTAGGAATGCTGCTTTTTTAAGACATGAGGCGAATTCCTGAGCCCTTCTTGACTTCACTTTCTTCACCTGTGGAAGGAGTACATTGAACTAGAGGAGGTCCACGGGCCCTTTGGGCTCCAGGGCAGTATGAGTCCAGTAGCATTTCCTGAGGAAGAAAACGTGGCAGCCATTTGCACTGAGCCTCCAGTCTTGCTGTGTGAGATGAGGCAGGCCAGGCAGGGTGGATCTCAAGGCTGTTTGAAAGGGACCCATGCTATCTATCATGTGTTTCTTTTTCATTTTGATAAAAACTTTGAGTTTTCACTGATTTATATTGGCTCTTAGTCATTATGCTGGTCCTTGTTTAAAGACTAGTTTGTAAATAGGAAGAAAGTTGGATGAAGTAGCTTATCAAAAATAGCTTAGAAATATAGAGCAGGCAGAAAGATACTTTTTCAGTTTTAGGAAGGAAGATGATGACAGAGAGAAAAACATTAATTATGACTGAATCATGACTCATGTAAGTTCTAGCTTGTACTTTGGGCAGTTCTGTGGCTAATTTATGGTAAATTGGTAAAACACTGATGCGTGAAAATGAACAATATAATTTATATAGCTCATCCTCAAATTCATGAATTTTCTGAGGTCTCATTTGGTTTTCTTTGACCCCTTAACTTAAAAACAACTTACAGCACACAGATTGTGCATTTACTGGATTCTTGTAAGTATAAATCAGTTTTCTTATTGAATAGTGCTAAATGGAAAGCAAATTCAGATAATTCTCTTGCGTATTAAACTAGATCAGATTGTCCTGCAAAATTATCTGTCAGCATGTAGATCTCTGGATGGCCATGAATTAAGAACGTTCACTTTCAAGTTGTGTATCACACTGCTAAAGAGTAGTAAAGAGAAGCTGTCTGCGTGTGGGAAGCTTTGGGAGGAAGAGGAGGAGGAGCTATTCTTTTTGTTCCTTAACAGAGCCGTGAAAAGAAGTATTCTCACCTGGAGGTGTCACACAGAGTTAAAATAATGGTACCTGTTTCTGTTCCCCATGGAGTCCTGTGCTGTCCTTTGACTTTTCCTGCTAAGATCATACAGAAGGGAGAATCTGTTCATCCTTCTTTCCTGATGTCCCAGAGCAGTGCAGTGACTGAAATGATAAAGAACGTGCCCCTCCCCTCCCTGCTCTGGTTTCCTGTATCCTGAGCATTTTCTCCTTTCTCATTTTACCTCATTTCTTCTTCCTGATATTAAAGCACAGCCCCGATCCTGTTCTGTGAGCTAGGAAAATCTCAAACACTGGGAGAGTTATCCTAAGGATATACCTAGGAGTTAACAAAACAAAATCGAAACGGAGGAAACTCTCTTCATACACCTAGGACCCAGGAAGCCAGCAGAAGTTGAACAATTAAAGCTTTAGGAGAGAGAGAGAGAGACCTGCAAGTTAAAGGCTCCTGGGGCCCCAAGCCCGGGAGGTTTCTGGACTTCACATCTGCCCCAGAACCTGTGCAGCTAGAGTTGGTCTTTACTCATTCTACAGATAGAGACCAGTTGCCCTTCATGTATCTTTTCTTCCTCATGGCATATGGCTGATGCTCTGACTTTCTGTGTCCAAGTTCTCAAAGAAGGAATCCCATTGAAAGCCAAAATCTACTAATCCTGTTAAGACTGAGCATTTTCTATCAGCCACTCATAAGCTATTGGCCAGTCCATGGATTATATGTCCTTAGGTCAGGTGTGTCTATCTGTGGGCCAGTCAAGTGTGGCTCGGGAAGGGGAGATGGTCAGATGACTAGACTGCCTCAGTAATTCCTCATGCCTCCCAGGGTAGGACAGCTTCTCATAGAAGGAGCTGTGGGTAAGGTTGATGCCATGATTCATGTGTGGTTATATATCCTCTTTACTTTGCTTGATAATATTTCCTCAGCAATACTGACCTGGTGTCAAATGTCTTATAATGTAGGGCAGTGGTTCTCTCTTGGGGGAGGGGGCGAAGAATGGGGAACAGACCCTATTGGAATCCCTGGTGAGGTGGACCAAGGGGATGTAAAAGTCTGCTAGGGCTGCCATAACAAAATACCATAGAGTGGGTGGCTTAAACAACACATTTATTTTCTCACAGTTCTGGAGGCTGGAAGTCCATGATCAAGGTACCAGCCGAGGGCTCTCTTGCCGGCTTGCAGACAGCTGCCTTCTTGCTGTGTCCTCACATGACCTTTCCTCTGTGCTTGCATGGAGATAGAGAAATCTCTGGGGTCTCTTCTTCTTCTTATAAGAACACCAGTTCTATTGGATTAGGGCTCCACCCTTTTGACCTCATGTAACCTGTATTACCTTATTATAGTCCCTATCCTCAAATATAGTCATGATGGGGTTGGCCATATTGGGTTTTCGGAGGGCACATTCGGAGGGCACATTCGGAGGGGAACAAATCACAGCACTCTTTGTGATTTGAAAGTTCAACAAAAATTAGAGAATGGAAGTGTGATTTTTAAGTTTCTCAAAGCGAAACATAATTGAAGAAAATTAAGCTTTTCTCATGTCAAGGACAACTACTGCCATTAAGAACGTCACAGACATGTAATCTTCTTAAGAACAGCTGTCCCTCAGCCTGGCTTGGTCAGTGCCTGGCTTGAAGTCAGTGCTGAATCAATAAGTTCTACTTATGAAACCTCTAATGAAGTTTGGGGGAGGGTACAGAATTTCAGGATTTTTTTTTAATACACAAGTGAGAAAGCTGTGGTTTTATAACTGGAAATGCCATGGCAGAAGGCTTCCATATTAGAAAAGGATGTGAAAGGGACACAGAAAAATTATCATCAGAGAATTACAGTGAGACCTGGAATGGGGTAACTGAGGGGAGTCTGGGCGAGAAACAGTATCTTGGCATTGATCTACAGGGTGTCACAAAGACATCATGACACCTTTGGGATGGCCATGGAAGGTTCAGGAGATGAAGAGAATGATACAACGTTGCTATCATTGTAGTCAAGTGGACACCCTGGAGAGGAGGATGTCACCAAGGTCACTAGAGACGACATGGTAGTTACACTGATTTTCCTCCGTCTGTGGTAGGACATCACAAATCAGTCACCATACTTGCTCCCACTGAGGCTGGATGTATAACCTTAGAACACTTCTCAGCACAGTAAGCCACATGTCGTGTCAATCCGACATAAGAGTTTAAACCGTTTCGCCCGCCAGGCCTAAAACTGTGCTACCTTAATTTCTGTCCCCTGCCTCTCCTGAGTTTCTCCTAATGACTGACCCCAGAACTCTCTAAGACTGAGGATTACACACACGTTGCCAGAGATTCACATTAGAAATGTGGTCGCTCTGGATATAACTAGGCATTTTAGTGCTACGTCAAAGCCTGCAGGCCAAACCTCCCTCTTCTCAACTCTGATTTCTAGAACAAAAGTATGTCTCGCTCTTGTTTCTACCCGAGTCCACGATGGAAGGGTTTCTGTGGTGATAGTTCTTGGGGCCTCCTGTGGCAGGGGCATGCCACCCCCAGTGCCTCCCTATCCCCTCGATTTACCTGCCTTTGTCACTTTTCTCAAGTTAGGCCCGGTGTCCAGCCTAGTTATGTTGGCTACTCCAAATGTGGTAACCAGTTACTATAGGCAGAAAATAGAAGGATGGTGGGCGACATATCTAGTTTCGAGGTGACACAGTAAAAATAGTGATCTTTAATATATTCTATAGAGATGGCTTGTTCCCCAAACTTTTGCCATGTGTTTTCTAGACAACTGGGACTGGACCTGGTGCCTAGGAAAGAGTATGCAATGGTAGATCCAGAGGACATCAGCATTACGGAGCTCTACCGACTGGTAGGTACAAGAAATCTTGGTTCACAGCCTCACTGCTAATTTTGTGGTTTCTATGGTGCTCTTCATACTTGATTGATTTTGTAAGAACAGGATGTTCCAAGTTTAATTTGGAGCAAGTAAAGAGAATTGAGAGCTGAGGTGACCATGCCCCAAGTAAAAAACTGAGGTACTTTACCTGTTCCAGAATTATATGATGTGCTCTACTGTGCTCTTAAGTCTTAGATACTAGGAAGTAAATCCAAAGAAGTTTTAAGTTCTTTTGCACATCTTTGCACATTTTGTTAGTTTAGTGAAATGCCTACAAATCATACATATTTATCTGTTGTGTTCCAGGACAGTGTTGGAGCTAATGATATCCAGTCATTCTTCCCCAACATGTTTTACCCCCACTCCCTGCCCCCATTACCACTATCCGCAGAATCCATTGAAAGTGTCTCCTCCACTGTTTCCAACTGCTGATCTTACCCCACCCCTTCTAGACCCTAATCCATCCTCAGTGCTGAAGTCTGTTAATAATTCTAAGATATTTGATCGTATTGCCCATCACCTACGACTTGAGTTTTTTCCAAGTTACATGGTAAGTTAAATCTGGTCCAATCTGCCTTGTATTTAGCCTTGTATTCTTTTTTTTTTTTTAAGATTTTATTTATTTATTTGACAGAGAGCGAGCACAAGTAAGCAGAGCGTCAGGCAGAGGGAGAGGGAGAGGGAGAAGCAGACTCCCCGCTGAGCATGGAGCCCAACATGGGGCTCGATCCCAGGACCCTGGGATTATGACTTGAGCCAAAAGCAGATGCTTAACCAACTGAGCCACCCAGGTGCTCCTAGCCTTTATCTTAATACTTGTATAAAAATTACCTAATTTCTTGATATTAACTAAGCTCTTTTAAAACCCCAAATTAAAGAAGACTGTGGCCGGGAAGGGCTTTCAAAGGCCATTACGCCAGTGTAATTTTACTTTGATATGGTTTCCCATGTGTCTTACTATAATGTTCAAAGGAACAGCTCCTTTGGTAAAGAGAAGACTCCTTTTTGGAAGATGCTGCTTCTTCCAAAGCGTACAATAGTCTTCATAGAATAGTGGGAAATTCTTGACCTGAGATGATCTGGATCTGAGAAATGTGGGGGAAAAAAATCATCACTAGGCCCATCAGAGCTTATGTCTGATTTTTAGAAAGCAGTTCTACCACTTTGGGTTTTTTTCCTTAGTCGCTGATCTGTTCAGATTATCTCTCTACACCTTATTTTGTCAGTTGGAATTAATTCTGCTTTTTGTAGAGAATTTCCTTCACATTGAGCTTCTTGAGAGTGATGTTTCATGTGGCACACCTTTGTGGCATCATTGCTAAGTAGATATTTGGCACATAGCAAAACCACAGTTAAATGTCAGTTGGATGGAGGCAGAGAAGGAGGAAGGAAACAAAATAAAGAGTATTTCAAGTTCAAGTTATCCCTAATTCTTCGCTCGCATAACAAGTAAAATCTGTATAACTTATTTGCGAGTCACATCCTCTAGTGGAGCATCTTTATTGCAGTTACTTTATTTAACTCATTGAGCATCAAATGTGTCTCTCACTTCTTTAATCTCACTTGGTTGGAAGTTTCTTCAGGGTAGGCACTGTCTTACGCTTCCTCTATCATGCCCAAGGTAATCTTGTACAGTGCTTTATACTTAATAAGCAATCACTCAGTGTTTTTGAGGTCCCATCATGTTATTATGGAAAGACCATGGTTATAGATCCAAAAAACTAGATTTGAATTCCCTTTTCTCAGGTCTGTAGTCTTGAGCTTATCACTTAGTCTTTCAGAGCTTCACATTCTTCCTCTGTTAAGTAAGGAAATAATTCTTACCATGTTTGTTAGGAAGATTAAATAAGAAATGCATGTAAATGACCTTTCCTTGGCAGTTAGTGTTTGCAGAGCACTTAAGCATTCAGTTGATTTTCATTCCTTGCTCCCCTTTGCTTCATCGTTATCAGAGAGGCAAGCGGCAAGAGTGATTGATACCTTATATGCTCAATCTTAAGATTAGATCTGGCTGTGTTCAATGAAATAAATAGTAGAAGCTTAGACATGATAGAAAGTTATTTCTTTCTCACAATATGCAAGCCAGGAGGCAGGAAGTTCTGGGCTTGTGTGTGGTTTCATGGTGTCGAAAGTGATAAGGCTCTTATTTTTCTGCCCAGTGGTACATGGTTTCCATCATCGAGGATACTTCCAAGTTTGATACAGCTGCAAGGGCTCTAGCCATTACATCTGCTCTCCAGCAGTAGGAAGAAGAAAGGTTCTTAGTTCAAAGACTTTAAGAGCTTTGCTAGAAATTCCACACAACATTTGCAGTTATATTTCATTGGCCAGAACATAGTCACATCCCTGTATTTAGCTAGGGATGGCATATACTTGATAAGCAACTAACAGTGTCTGACACAAATATATTTTAGTTTTTCTAGTTTGATTTTGTATGTGTGCAATTTTATCTTTGTTCTTTTCACCTAATGTCCTATATGGGATGCCAAATTGATTTCATCTTTTTCAACATTCTGATTTGTTTGTGATGGCCTCCTGGAGCGCCATGTTGATACAATTCTGGGGTCTCATCTGGGCTATGATTGATGAGCAGTGGCTGTCACTGGTGCAGGGGACTACCACTGATGAGTAGTGACTGCCAGGCCAGGGTGTTTTCCATTTTTGTAGCTCAAATCCTAGCCCAGAGTCTTCATTTCTGATTTTCCATGAAAATTTAATTTCTCCCTGTAGTGGTTGTATTTTACTGTTTGTAAAGCAAAGACAGTAGCCCAAGAAAAACCCAAATTATTATAAGCTTCAAAAGGACCTGCTATCTTCAAGGCAGGTTTCTGTTTATACCCTGGCCTAGCAATAATCAGATTGTCCATTGCTCTGGTCCTTTTCTCTGGGCAAATAAAAGTGACTGACTATATTGACTTCACCAGGGAGAGTTTGTAGGCACCACCTTCAATCCCTTGCTGTCGTCGTTGTTGTTGTTGTTTTGGTGTTTATCATCACTTACGGATCAAGGGCCATGGCATGCATGCCCCAATAGAGGATGTTTGATTGATTGTTACCACTTGTTTGTTTGTTTGTTTTTATTGTGTCTTCTCCATGTCCTATTTGAAACAGATGTTTGTACATTGCTAAATCCATACTGCATCATTAGAAGAAGAAAAAAAGTCTTGCTTTAGATTTTGGATAGCCCTGTTAGCAGATCTTTCTCACCTAATTATGTTCATCTAAGCAGTAAAACGTGCTAAACCTCGCAGTGTTAACATATGTCCACTTGGAACGTTTGGTTTTCTGCCAAAGGCCAGATCCCAATCCTCCTATAAATAAAGAGAGACTTAGCTAGATTCTCTGGTTATCTGTGCATACAGAATATCTTTTTATAAGCCTTTCTTGGTTTTATAAGATCATGTTAACTTCTTGCTTTGTGATCCGCAGTGGGTGGACCAGGGGTTCTCAAACAGAGAGCAGGGGACATTTGGCAATGTCTGGAGACATTTTTGGTTGTCACACTTGGGGGTGGGGTGGATGGGGGTGGAGAGAGGTGCTACTGGGTCTGGTGTATAGAAGCCAGAGAAAGCTGCTGAACATCCTACAAAACCCAGGAAAGCCCCCACAACAAAGAAGTATCTAGCCCAAATGATCAGTAGTGCTGAAGTGGAAAAGCTGTGGTATAGGCAATCCACACAGTAATTTATACATTATATGAGGATTAAAAATTTGCATCCCTTCAATAAATCTGTAGAATGAATCTGTTTCTTTTCCTCATCAAAGGTCTAGTTAGATTATAAGCGCATTTAGAGTGGCTGGTAGGTGCCTTTGTAACCATAATTTATTTCACAGATGGATTTTTGTCTGTTTATTATAACTACCAAATTATAGCCCTTGAAGTGTGAACATGCCTTTTTGATTTTGTTTTTGTAATAATATTTTCACAGAGATATTTTTATTTATTTATTTATTTATTTATTTATTTATTTATTTATTTATTTATTTATTTTAAAGATTTTATTTATTTATTCATGAGAGAGAGAGACAGAGGCAGAGGGAGAAGCAGGCTCCCCGCAGAGCAGGGAGCCCGATGCGGGACTCGATCCCAGGACCCTGGCATCATGACCTGGGCCGAAGGCAGACGCTGAACCGACTGAGCCACCCAGGCATCCCTCACAGAGATATTTTTAGCAGTTCTCCATCGTAGTGAGTTAACAAGAGATAAACAAGTCATCATAACCTACTTACGTCCACATCTTTTCCAGACCTGGAAGAATGGTGGGTGAGGGAAGGGGAGATTTTGGTGCCATTTGTGATGACTCATGTCCCATGTGCATAATCAGTGTAGAAGCAGACAGGCTTAGGACAGGCATGCATGCAAAGATTCAAGGTTCCAAGGCAGTAATTGTACAGAATATGCAACAATGCATTTTTCAGTCGGCTTTGATTTGCATGTCCCTGCATAGGATCTCAATCAATAGTTCTCAACCCTCATTGCACATTAGAATCACCTGGGGAGCTTTTAAAACTATCACTCTCTGGACCCCCATCCCCTAGAAATTCTAATTTAATTGTTCTGGGATAGGTCCTGGGCATAAGTATTTTTTAAAAGCTCTCCTGGTGATTCTAAAGTGCAGTCAAGGTTGAGAACCACTGATCTAGATATATTGAATTCCTTGCATGAGTAAAGGACTTTTTTTTTTTTGCTCCATTTTTAGTAGATGTCATGACTGATACTAGGAACTTTGCACTGTTTGAAATAAAGACCAGATGCCTCTTTGAGGTCCTTTATTTAAATAAGATTTTTATACCTGTTTTTCCCACTCTAGTCCTTAGTAGTCATTCATTTCTTCATAGTACTTTATGCTGTGTTACCCTAAACTTTTAAGTATATCCGTAAATAAGTTAGCATTTTCAGAAAATAAAAAGCTTCTTTGTGAGTTAAAGAGATGTAGTTTTATGAACGTATGCTGCTTCTTTTGCTTTGGTAAAAAAGAAATTTTAAAAGCACAAAATAGAGCGACCTTCTCAGAAAACAAGGCAGAATTACACTCTTTTTTTGCCCCCTATAGTTAGAATATTTCTCTGCAGGAAGCTTTTCTAGCAATTATCACTAACACATAACACAATGCTGAGGTGCACTTTACAAGAAAGTGTACTCTTCACTTTCGGAGAGAGATGTCCATTGTACCTGTTGAGTTTACAGTGATTACAGATGCATTTGCTTAATTGCATTTTTAACTGTTTACCTTTTGAGTAGTTTAAATTAAAAGATAAAAGCATGAAAAGTTCTGGTAATCTCATCCTGCTGCATTAAAACCGTAAATTTAGATGGTGTTTTTTTCCTTTCAAATCTTGGTCAGTCAGGAATTGTTGAACTAAGAAACATAAAAAAGATGGTTAATGTAGAAACAGGGTTATGTGCCTTACCCCTAAGCCAAGGATATTACCCCATTACTGTGGGATTAATTCCTGAGCTATTTTTTTTTTAATTGTCTAGTGAACCAAAAGAGGTGGCCATTAGTAATCTGTATTAGGAAAGCAAAAATACTCCTCATTCTTAGCACCTGTTCTGTGAATACACAGTCCTTGTGTATGTTTTCCTGGTGCTCTTACCCTGAATCACTTCTTGAAAGTGGTCCAAGAACTAGCTGGACCGTGCACTGTTTGTAACTGGTCCAAGTACAAAAGTGGTGAGTAAAGGTTTAGAAACCTTCATAACATTCTAACATTACCATGACATTTTTATTGTCTGTTATGGAAATATCTGCCTATAGTAGATTAGGGGGAAGAACAACTTGGTTTTTTCCTGCACCTAGTTGAAAAAGCACTGTTCTAGATGGTTCATTGGTCCTGCTCCCTCTTTGGCTCTTGGCCAAAGTGTCCCTTTCTCAGGACACCTGCTCTGACTGTCCAGACACAAGTCAGATCACATCCTTCCAGATCCTCGTGATAATCTGGTTCTTCCCCTCCATTTGTCACAGTTGCAGTTTCCCGTCTGTATGTAGAATGATTTTGTTGATGTCTGCTCCCCCTGGTAGATAAGATCCGTGAAGGTAGGGGCTATTTCTCTTTTTGCTCATCAGTGCATTTCCACTGCTTGGCACATAAGAGACACTTAACAAGTGTGTGTTGCCTGACTGATCACCCCCATGTTCTCTTAACCCTGGAACTATCGGTGGTTCCTTTCCTCCTTCAGCTTGTGTTAGTGCTCACTTCTGATCCTGCCTCCCAAGTGTAGCCTGCGCTAGGCAGAAGTAAGATGGACATGGATGCTGTTCCTCAGCGTAGCCATCTCACTGGCTTCCCCAGTCTGCTGCCCTGTAGCTCCACGGCAAGTTAGAAACATTTTATTGCTCTCATGATTGAATATCATTTGCCATAGTGTGTCTCAGAAAACTACCACAGTTCTGCAATTTAATATGCTTTAACAGGATGTTTAATTATGAAAAATGTGAAATCATTGCTGCATTGTTAAGCTACCATCAGTGAAATGACCAGATACAATTTAGTCGGGTTTTTTAAAGGTAACTAATAATTTATTCTCACCCTGGAAGTTGATAAGGGAACAGTAGAATCTTTTGAACATCATGCTGCCTGAATCTACTCAGCAAGTGGTATCATTTTAACATTAATGATTTAAAACCAAAATCTTGGGGCGCCTGGGTGGCTCAGTCAGTTAAGCATCTGACTCTTGATTTCAGCTCAGGTCATGATCTCAGGGTTGTGAGATAGAGCCCCACATTGGGCTCCACGCTGGGCGTGGAGCCTGCTTAAGATTCTCTCTCTCTCCCCCTCCCCCACCTCTCCCCCAATAAATAGATTAGATAGATAGATAGATAGATAAAACAAACCAAATTCTTAAAGCAAGATTCCTTGATAATCTGCAAACTTCATGGTTTCTTATTTTAGAAGTTGGAAGAAAATTTGGAATGTAACATCCAACCAGATGCCAAATCCACAGGAAAAAAAAAAAGAAGATACCACAGGACATCATAATCATACCATAGCTAACTAGTTTGTTGGATCCCATTGTTTTCTTCAGTCCATGCTGATCATGTTTTTGTTGGGGGTTGTTATTCAGATGGAGCACCGACATCGGAAGAAAGATACCCCAGTTCAGGCCAGCAATCACCACCTCTTTGTGCAGATGAAGAGCCTCATGTGTTCCAACCTGGGGGAGGAGCTTGAGGTCATCTTCTCACTCTTTGACAGTAAAGAGAATCGACCAATCAGGTAACTGCATATGGAAACATGACTGGAATTTCTTAATGTTGGAATGGTGAGCATTTGTAATTGACAAGCTTTAGGATATATGACCTTGTATACTTTTCCTTTATGAGCTCATTTGTAGAACTATGTGAATTTCTAAACTGCCTACCCTCTGGAGGTTCCCATGAAAGTTAAATGGGGTGATGCATACAGAAGTTCTTTGAAAAACTCAAAAGGGGTGTAGAACCATGATAATGATTACTAAATGAAAGTATGGAATTGATATCAGGTCTGTTATTTGAGTTACTTTGTATTGATAATGCAAGGAAGACATTATTTCTAAAGCCCCAAGTTGGTTTGCTTATCAAGGTCAACATGTTGTGTTTTTCACATTTGTGGTAAACAATTACATTATTTTTGTCCTCTATGCATCAGATAATATCAAGAGAGGGGTAAGTACTTGGAAACCTTCCCATTAGAGTTTCAGAGCTGTGAAATGGTAAACTGTTTCACATATTTTTTTTTCTTTCTCAGTTCTCAGAGTCTTCTCTTAGGGCAGGTTTTTAATATTTAGGAAAAACCTGTAGTGAATGTTTTGGTTGTTATTCAAAAGCCTCCACTCTTTATGTTTCAAATTTTTTTTTGTATTTGTTTTAAGGTTGAACACAATGCATACCACCTTTTACATTAAAAGATTTAAATTTAGATTTAAAATTGTATCACACAACTCTCACATGACCCAACTTCACTGTGTTTTACAAAATGATGCTTATTAAAATGCTGACAATTTTAAGCAACTCTGAGCCACATATATTGTTTCATAAACACAAAAAGTTCTGGCTGGGTGATGGACAGTGGGGAGGGTATGTGCTATGGTGAGTGCTGTGAATTGTGTAAGACTGATGAATCACAGACCTGTATCCCTGAAGCAAATAATACATTATTATGTTAATTTAAAAAAATTTTTAAAAATAAACACAAAATAATTCTGGAGTATTTCTCTCCTGGTTAAAAAATAAAAATACTTGTTTTCTCTAAGAAATATGTGTGAAATTTATTTTTAAAGCATTTATAGCCATAAAATCTTTGGTGAATTAATTTCTATGTTAATCATAACCTACTAGTAAGGGTACCTTCTATTCTTGACAAGTGGACTGAATCCATAGAATTTAAAGATAGTATTTTTGGATAGCAAGGACAGAATTTATAAGATGTGTAAATAACAATGATAATAGTTTCAAAATCTGCTTTATACACTTTTAAAGGAAATGAATCAGTAAGTTAGAAACACAAACCAGCAGTGCTAAAAAGGGAAGAAAATAAAGGCTTGAAAAATAGATCCAAATTGCAGCTTAGCACTTGCTTTAGAAATGTGAAAGATTATTTAGAGATAACACTTGCTAACATATTGAAATGTGTCTTAGAGAGCTTGGTTTCCAGGTAGTTTAACAAAAATTCCTCATACCATTGTCTATATAATATGTTGTCTCTAAAATATTTAACAAACTATAGGAAAAGTAAAAGGGAGAAATGAGGTCACTCTTCTACTCATTCCTGTTAAGCTAAGGTTTTGAAGACTATATAAATTCCCCTTTGCCACTAATGTTCACATTGTATCACCACAGGAGTGTGTTAATTTAGGATTAATATTAGCCGCTCTCTTAGTTTTGTCTTGTTATAAACATTTTGAAATTTCCTGAAACATCCTTTTAGGTTTTAAGCAACAGAGTTCCCTTTCTTTTATTCCTATGTACTTGATGAAAGTAGGAAAATAACCTGGGTGCATGATCCCCAAAATATGTTTTTGTGGTCCCCAAGTTCAGACCGGGAGCTGGACCTTTTTCCTGCTCTGTGACGTGGTTGGGCTCCTATAGGTTCCTGCCTCTCTCTTCTCCCTCCCCGTTTTCTTTGTCTTCCCCTCCCGCTTGCCTCTGTCACACGCACTCCTCTGATAATCCACCTGATAAGTAGTGACCCTAGAAGAAATTAAGCCTAAATCCCTCTTCACTACTTCTGCACCCGTAATCACCGTAAAGATGATCAGCAAAAGAATAACTAAGAATGAATATATATGCTTACGAGGTGATGGAACCGTGTCAGATTTATTTTCTTGATTTTCTGAGACCTTGGGCAACACAGTGATGATTCTTTTAGGGAGTTTTCAAAACCTTGCTGTGAGTAGCTTTGGTTCCATTGAGGGCACAGGGCAATATCACCATTACCTTTTAAAGAGGCCTTAGGATGTGCAGATCTGGAGACCAGGCTTGATTCTGGTCTTTGCAGTTGACCTTTGCCGTCCCTGACCCCTTCACTTGCCTCTGTCTTTTCATTCATCCTGAAACTGGTGACAAATCTGGCTTCCCTCATTGCTCCCAGCTTACCACATGAGTGTAAAGTATTTGCATCTTTTCAGAAAAAGGTATTATAAAGGTAAAATATGATTTTGAGAAATTGTGTTTCTTCTTAGGCCCAACAGTGTGGGATGTATGGGTATTTTAAAATCAACTTGCATTTCTCTTTTAAACTTTTTTTTTTTTTTTAGAAAATTTCAGATGTGTGAAAAGGTAGAATAGTATCATAAAGCTCACTGTACCAGCCTCCAGCTTCAACAGTGATCAGCTCAGACCTGGTCTTGTTTTAACCATACCCCTTTCCGGTCCTCCTCCTTGCCCCCAAGTTATTTGGAGGCAAATACCAGACATCCTATTTTCAAATGTAAATATTTTGGGGTATATCCCTAAAAAGGGGAATTCCAAAGAAATTACTGCCTAAGAAATTAATATTCCCTTCTGATCAAATATCCATCTCCTGCCAGTCTTCAGTTTTCCCATATTGACTCATATAACTTTACAAATTCCTTATCTGGAATCCTTATCTGGAGTTAGCACTTATCTGGAACCCTTATCTGGAATCCCAAATTCCTTATTTGCAATCCTTACAAATTCCTTATCTGGAGTCCCAGATAAGGAATTTGTGAATTATAAGATGTATTACAGCTGGTTGATAAGTTTTGCAAGTCACTTTTCAGCTAGTTTCCCTCCCTCTCTCCCTCTTAAATTTTCTCGTAATTACTTTGTTGAGGAATCTGATCATTTGATTTTTTTTTCCTGAGTTCCAAGTCCAGTCCAAACAATGTAAATCTGTAGACAAAAGATGGTATATTTAAGTGAATGCTTTTGTTGTTAAAGATCATGAGTGCTGTAATATACAAAAAATAAAACACATTCTAAGTGTAATATTTATAGCATTGATCCTGACCATTAATCACAAGAAGTTACCTTGTCCGGGTATAGGTAGAAGGGCCAACATGTGCACAGTGGGTGGAGGTACGATGAGGAGAGGTAGATGTTTGTTCCTCCCACAAGGCAGACAACTGGTTGGGACATTTTTTTTTTTTTTTAACTTTCCTCTTCTAAGAAGCAAACAGCCAGTATTTTTTGTTTTTAAGATTTTATTTATTTATTTGACAGAGAGAGACACCGTGAGAGAGGGAACACAAGCAGGGGGAGTGGGAGAGGGAGAAGCAGGCCCCCGTGGAGCAGGGAGCCCTATGCGGGGCTCGATCCCAGGACCCTGGGATCATGACCTGAGCCGAAGGCAGACGCTTAACGACTAAGCCACCCAGGTGCCCCCAAACAGCCAATATTTACTGAGCACTAACCATTTTCCAGACTTCATTCTAAGTGCTTTAAAAATATCATCAGCACTAATATTATTGGTGAGAAAACCAAGGCACAGAAAGTTTGCATAGTCAAGCAGGATTTTACTGGCCAGAGTTAGACCTTCAGAGACTGGTAGTCTTAATAATAAGCTGTTATAAATTATTGGTAATGATAATACTAAACCTAACACAGGGCCACAGAAGTACTCTGTGCTACAGAAATTGGTTTTCTGAATTGAGTCCTTCTCAAGTACTTTAAGGAAAGCAAAGTATCATTGACTCTTACTTTGCACCAGTGATAAGTAGCTTAGCAGTACTTGGAGATAGCAAATGCAAAAGGAGATAACATATGAAAATTGTCACCTCCTGGTTCACTCAATGGAACCATGACCCGCATGTGTCTCCTCAATACCAGGAAGGGTATGTTTTCCAACAACAAACTTAAATTGTCACTGAAGCTGGGCCGTACTTAGAAAGCCCATTAATTTTATCTCAAAACAATTTCTATCCGAAGGTGCCCCTGAATGTTAGGCCTCTGATGCAAGACAACTTTTGCTCTAAATAATCGCAAAGACTTAGTCAACCTCTGACACCATCTTGCTCACATACACCTACCCTGTCCTTCTTTTCCAGCACCTTCCTCAGTTGTTTGTGTAACAGCACCAGCCCAGAGTCCCCTGCAGATAAAGCTACATTGGACTCAACTGTCAGGAAATACAACATACTTTAGTTTATCTGAGTTTTGTACGGTCTTGACATTTACATAATCAGTAGAAAAATGAGTTTGATAAATTAAGTTTTATGTGGGTAAAGTGGTTTTCGAGAACATCTGTCTGGTTGAAAGTTTGTAATTTCCTCAGTCTACAAGGGTATAGCTGGAAAAGTCAGGCAGTCATTTCCCTAGATACCATCCGTAATTTTATTTTGTTTTATTTTCTTCTTTTCTATTCTATTTATTTAACAAAGCACTTATATAATGCATATGATGTGCCAGGCACTGTTCTAAGCTCTTTTAAAAATATTTACTTATTTATCCCTTGTAACAACCCTATGAGGTAGGTACTATTACTCTCCCCACTTTTTATAGATGGGGAAACAGAGGCACAGAGTGATTTAATAGGTGACACAGCTGGTATGTCGTGTGGTATTTTAACTTGCAGCCTCATCAGGTGTCAGTACTCTGAATCACTTTTCTACACCCATTCTCTTCATCTTTCGTACTTATCATATCCTGTTTTCTTCCTCAACCAAGTTTTATTCACCAGTGTGTGGTAAGGGGTTTGTTGAGGATTTGTTTTTTTAAGAAACCGGAATGGGAGAGAAAATGAGCTTGTTGACAGGAAGGATCTAGTAACAAAGGAGA